TGAGCTATAAATTGTGTTGTTTTGGTTATTCCAAAAAGTACCTTTTTTTCTTGTAATAAATGTAGATCCAAAACTGCATACATGTACATGTGACTCTCCATTCCAAACTCCAAACGAAAAACTGCATTTAGTGTTTGTGTTAGCTAAATTTTGAAGCTAACAACATGGGCTTAAACATCATTCTGCATGGCACCCATGAAACGCTGACCACTCTTGAAGCACTTACAGGCTACAGTCTTGCATTTTGCTTCACATCCACAAGTAATTAATTCAATACACTTAGAGGGAATGCTGTCAAGCCTATTCCAAACAATTTTCAATCTATCTGGGCTTCCTTGCCACCCCAACACATTTGTGAGGGATGTACATTCATTTGTACTTGATCAGCCTGGAGCCACACGTTAGCTTGATAGTTAGCACGAGAAAGGTGTAACTCCAAGGCATCCTCTGTCGAGGGCAGTTTTTCAAGATCAACTTTTCCTTTATCAAACATTAAAGCCCTTGCTTTGTTGACACCACCATGAACATCATGTGCATTATAAAGTCGACAGACACATTCTTGCACATCATCTGGTTCCCCATTTCTGCCAACACCACTGAGAAGCTGCGGATATTTGTTGAATACTTTCCAGCAAGACTTCTTTCCGTATTCACTAAATGAAGACACCGTATCACACCCAGTTAGTGCATGAAACCCAATAACGTTCTGAATAACTTCTGTGGGCATGTTCTCTTGTGAATGGGGTAGCATTTTGTTTTCTTTTTGGTACCACTGACCATGTTGTAGACTTGATTGATTGATTTCCAATGTACCGGTCGAATACTACATCAACTCTAGTCACACCATCTTTGAAGTGCTGCTCAACTTTCTTGATAAATCTTTGCGCATATTCATTAAATGACTTGCATTTGCTTGGTTTCCCCATGGCTTTGATCATTGCATGTCCGTCAATGAGAACACATGTTGTTGACCTTTCATCAGATGATGGCACGTCAAGGGCTGTTTGTATATCAGAAGACAGAACAGACAAAATATCTGACTTAGATGTGGAATCCATTATCCCATTAGTCTTGGCCAAAGAGGGAGGATACTTTGAGAGTTCATGAGTAAGGACTTCGTCCATGTCTATGTTACGACCTGCCTTAGAAAGCTTATTCAAAAGCTCTTTAATGCTTCAATCAGCTTTCACTGCCTTCGTTTTGTTCTCCTTTGTTTTGCATGAGATCTTGTACAAAGATGACATTGTTTTTGAATTGTGCCTTTTTGTGGATTTGTAAAAGTCTATTGACTTGTTAACCAGTCTTTCCTTTACTTCATTTGTAAGTGCAACTTTGCCACGTTCATAAGCACTCAACAGATCTTCTTGTATTTCTTCTGTGGCCATATCTTTGGTGGTAAGTGCTGTGAGGTTCTGGCATTGAATGGGCTCTTCTTCATGCTGAGTGTTGAAGACTTTGAAACGTACAAATTGTTTTACCAAACTGTGCACTGAATTCTCATCTATCTTGGTGCGAGAAGATAGCATTTCATTGCGCGTGGAAATGGCCTCAGTGTCACCCTCGTCATCATTCTCCACATGCTACAACATCCTGGTGCATTTACTCACATGTGACCGTTCAGACCATGTGGTACAGAATCTATCTCGTGCTGTGTCGTTTCTAGTGATACCAATGATGCCAATTGAGACCTTGCAGAGCCGATTTACCCATTCAGTTCCTTGATCCACAGGCACTTGATTAAATTGCTTTTTGCTCATCTTGACAACAAAGTTTCCTTCTTGAAACTTTCTGGTGCAAATTTTTCTAAGTTGTACATGTAAGACAAATATACAGCACCCCACTTTCCATAATTGTAATGATCATAAATTACCATCCATGGTAACATTGGAGCGAAGGTCTCCAAAGGCAGTTTCTAATTTCCTTCTCTCAGGGATTGTATAAAGTTAAGAAGCACTTCAGTCATCTCCATGTAACTACGCCAGAAGGTAAAATTTGGATCACTTTTTTGCTCCTGATCGAACTCCTTCATCAAAGCTTTCAATGGAGCACTTGCAGCAATGAATGCTTCCACTGCATCATACTTTGTATCACTGTATCCAGCTGAGCAGGAAAAGAATGCATCTGATATGCCAGCAATTTTCTCATTGATGTCCAAATCAGATACTCATTTTATCATTTACGCTTAGCCACTGTTGAGATTTGCTCCAGAAATGCGGATAAGTGCTTCATAAGCCAAGGTGTGGCTTCTCACTGCACAATGGTACTGCTTACCCTGCATAACAGTTTCTGACGTAAGCTCAGCCAAGTCATCTGCTTCAACCCAAATATCATCTAAACCAGTACTCTCCATATGCTTTCCAATGGTTTTCAGCTAGTTGAACAGTATCTGGAGGCATCCCATCATCATATTTACATTGCTGTACTTTTCTGGACATGCCCAAATCATTTCTTTTCCTCTGCTGTACAGTGGCTGATCTGCAAAAATAATTGCATGTGTCTGTCCTAAATGACCAGAAATGTCCTGAAACTTGTTTAGCACAGTTGTCATGGTGTCGTTGTTGTCTGTAGGGGCTTGAAGGATTGGCATCATACCCAGAGTAGTAGTTGATGAGTTCTGCTGAGAAATAGATTCATTAAAAGCACTCCACGATGGGACAGATTGGTCAGGTTCTGTTGTTTGTCGAGAAACAACCCAGGCAAGGTTTGTGGAGCTAGCTTTGTTCCTTTCATTCTGTAGAAACCATTCATCAGTGTTGATTTCATCTTCTTTAAATAAAGATGGTGGTCTACTTCCTACAGGGAGTTCAGCATAATCTATCTTGTGCAGCTTCTTCAGATTCTCAGGGTTGAGTGCAGCTTGTTGACCAATCTTGTGTTCAGTGGAATGTGTGTGTTCTTTCCATCCAGAGTTTCCTCTAAGACATCGATGTTGTCACATGAACTCAAAATGATGTG